ATCCTGTCTCGGAGCTCTACGGACAATTCCTTCGACCTCATGGCTTGGTTTTTGCTCTGACATGCGCTGTCAACTGTGGGACCTTTTATATAGAAAGGTCATCATCTCAAGGATGATCAATGGAAACAGAATGCACCTAAGCTAAATGTTGAGTCTCATAGCAAAGGGTCTGAATACTTATATACATTTGGCATTTCTGTTTTTTATTTTTGTATAAATTTGCTAACCTTTCTATTAAACTGTTTTCACTTTTTCAATATGGGCTATTGTGTGTAGATTGATGAGAATCCATTTTAGAATAAGGCTGTAACGTAAACAAAATGTGGAAAAAGGGAAGCGGTCTGAATACTTTACGAATGCACTGTATGTAGAAAGCCTAATATTCCACAAATGACTTTGTAATTTCTATCAACATTTTTGCTTTTCATAATAAACAAATACATTTACAGCGTTACCTATTAGTTTCTATCTCAATCGATTTATAAAAATCCTATTTTCTGGGGCTCCTAAATTTAATGTTTTGCAGCTAACTTTTTAAAGTTGGGAATTGGGCTGTTATGGTGACCGTATTACCGCCACACCAGCGGTGAAGAGCCATGATGGCAGTCAAATTCCCTGTGACTGTTTAGTCACGGTAATTAGGCTTCTCCAAGCTCTGATGCTGCTGATGGTCATTAGTAGCCTACCAGACTTACTAACCGCCTGGTACTTAGCACTCCATTATCACTCTGACATCAATGCAAATGTAATCGAAAATCTGATCAAACACTTCTTGAGAGCCCATGAGCTCATGTTGCGCAACATTTCTATAGGCTATACAATTGCATGAGAATACAGTGATGGCCTCTATTAAAAAGAGGAGGATCCCATCAGCTTTCTATAGGCTAGGCCTACTATATTTATTTAAAAACTTTCCTAATATTAAGCACATTGCTTCTCTTTACAACAGGAGTATAGCCTACCTGGCTGGCATGAAAATGAACCATGGGAGAAGCGTCCTCCATTTGCTATTTAAGTGCATAGATGACATGTATTTTTCCCCCCTCCTCCTGTTTCGAGACAGGTGCATGATAATGGTCCATTCTAAAACAAAACAAATTTCACACATATATATTATTTAGTGTATGTAAAGACAAGATGAAATCAAGTATAGTCTGATGGGTGACGATATTATTCTATCACTTGTGAATTATATATTATCACTTGTGAATGATGCCCGGCTTGTGTGCAGTAAGGCAAGAAACGCATACCTTTTTGTTGCGACTTTTTCAAATCATAGTCGCACACCTCATGTACCCATAGGCCTACAGTGAGGGGAAAAAAGAATTTGATCCCCTGCTGATTTTGTACGTTTGCCCACTGACAAAGACATGATCAGTCTAATTTGAATGGTAGGTTTATTTGAACAGTGAGAGACAGAATAACAACAAAGAAATCCAGAAAGACGCATGTCAAAAATGTTATAAATTGATTTGCATTTTAATGAGGGAAATAAATATTTGACCCCTCTGCAAAACATGACTTACTACTTGGTGGCAAAGCCCTTGTTGGCAATCACAGAGGTCAGACGGTTCTTGTAGTTGGTCTCCAGGTTTGCACACATCTCAGGAGGGATTTTGTCCCACTCCTGTTTGCAGATCTTCTCCAAGTCATTAAGGTTTCAAGCCTGACATTTGGCAACTCGAACCTTCAGCTCCCTCCACAGATTTTCTATGGGATTAAGGTCTGGAGACTGGCTAGACCACTCCAGGACCTTAATGTGCTTCTTCTTGAGCCACTCCTTTGTTGCCTTTGTGTTTTGGGTCATCACTGTTTGGGTCATCCATGACCCATTTTCAATGCCCTGGCTGAGGGAAGGAGGTTCTCACCCAAGATTTGACGGTACATGGCCCCGTCCATCGTCCCTTTGATGCGGTGAAGTTGTCCTGTCCCCTTAGCAGAAAAACACCCCCAAAGCATAATGTTTCCACCTCTATGTTTGACGGTGGGGATGGTGTTCTCGGGGTCATAGGCAGCATTCCTCCACCTCCAAACACGGCGAGTTGAGTTGATGCCAAAGAGCTCGATTTTGGTCTCATCTGACCACATCACTTTCACCCAGTTCTCCTCTGAATCATTCAGATGTTCATTGGCAAACTTCAGACGGGCCTGTATATGTGCTTTCTTGAGCAGGGGGACCTTGCGGACGCTGCAGGATTTCAGTCCTTCACGGCGTAGTGTGTTACCAATTGTTTTCTTGGTGACTATGGTCCCAGCTGCCTTGAGATCATTGACAAGATCCTCCCGTGTAGTTCTGGGCTGATTCCTCACCGTTCTCATGATCATTGCAACTCCACGAGGTAAGATCTTGCATGGAGCCCCAGGCTGAGGGAGATTTACAGTTATTTTGTGTTTCTTCCATTTGCGAATAATCGCACCAACTGTTGTCACCTTCTCACCAAGCTGCTTGGCGATGGTCTTGTAGCCCATTCCAGCACTGTGTAGGTCTACAATCTTGTCCTTGACATCCTTGGAGAGCTCTTTGGTCTTGGCCATGGTGGAGAGTTTGGAATCTGATTGATTGATTGTTTCTGTGGACAGGTGTCTTTTATACAGGTAACAAGCTGAGATTAGGAGCACTCCCTTTAAGAGTGTGCTCCTAATCTTAGCTTGTTACCTGTATAAAAGACTCCTGGGAGCCAGAAATCTTTCTGATTAAGAGGGGGTCAAATACTTATTTCACTCATTAAAATGCAAATCAATTTATAACATTTTTGACATGCGTTCTTCTGGATTTGTTTGTTATTCTGTCTCTCACTGTTCAATTAAACCTACCAATACATTTGTATAGACTGATCATTTCTTTGTCAGTGGGCAAACGTACAAAATCAGCAGGGGATCAAATACTTTTTTCCCTCACTGTATATGTTTTGATACGTTTTGTATCACAACTAAAGTGGCGAAATAATTTCTGAAAATGAAGCACATCAATCTGCTTTACAACGGGTGTAGAGCCTAACTGGTATACATACGCAGCGCGTGAGTTTCAAGTTTGGGGAAGATAGTTTTCACCATAAAAATGCACCTTTATAATAAAAGCATTACATGCATAATCACATTTGTGGTCACTTTTGATAATGGTGTTTTCCCGCGAATGGAACATTTGCGTTTATAGCCTACTGCCATGTGTGCATTGCTGCGCTTATAATGTGAAGAAATAGCCAAATAGTTTATCAACATTTTAAGCTACAGTGAGGGGAAAAAAGTATTTGATCCCCTGCTGATTTTGTACGTTTGCCCACTGACAAAGAAATGATCAGTCTATACAAATGTATTGGTAGGTTTAATTGAACAGTGAGAGACAGAAAAACAACAACAAAATCCAGAAAAAAAGCATGTCAAAAATGTTATAAATTGATTTGCATTTTATTGAGGGAAATAAGTATTTGACCCCCTCTCAATCAGAAAGATATCTGATCTCCCAGGTGTCTTTTATACAGGTAACGAGCTGAGATTAGGAGCACACTCTTAAAGGGATTATTTTGTTGTTATTCTGTCTCACTGTTCAAATAAACCTACCATTTAAAATGATAGACTGATCATGTCTTTGTCAGTGGGCAAACGTACAAAATCAGCAGGGGATCAAAACCTTTTTTCCCTCACTGTAAATGTTCTGACCTGTTGCGTCAGCCTCATTGCATAAAACATGTTTTTTGATGCTAGTGGTTGTATTAATTTGGGATCTATCGCATCCCACAACTGTCCCAGACTATGTTTGGAATATTTATTTCTCGCAAAGAATAGAATAGGTCAACTTTTGTACTATGGGGGATAGTAGAGTGTTCGTTAGGCCTACTCATCTTGTTGGCTGACGAAAATTAAATGTGGACAGTTCTTCCAATATCTTCAATATGCACCTCTGAATTGGATAAGGACGCGCGCAGTTGCGTCCCCGATGTGTCTGTCTTCACTTGTAGCCTGTGAGAAAGACTCGATCACGTGACGGGGAGCCATGTGAGTGAGAGGTGCTTCGAGCACGCAGCCGGGAGAGGGGAATTATAATTATTATATTCAGCCCAAGGGCACAACGGCCACTGGCCGCAAAAGGCATGGATTTTTTTAGGGGGCAGTACGGCCACACAAAGGGGATGCTGCCGGGAAATGTGAAGGCATTATCAAGTGCTTGTGAAATTGTGAATGAGAGACTGATGAAGTTTGTACAGCCTGCACAAAAAACTAAGCAGAGCTCATGCCTTTCATGCAACCTTTTAGAGTCGCATCATGTAGCCTTAAAATGTATTAAAAATCAAAACATATAGCCCAACGTATGTAACTACAGTTACATAAATAACTCTAAATTAAGCATATAGGACTACCTGTTTCTTTGTTAACCGCTCAACACAGAATAGCCGGATGTGCAAACTCCCTCAAATCGTTTGGAGAAAATATCCTTTCTATATTATTCAGCTATGTTCAATTGTATTCTTCATACTATAAAATAATATAAAATAATGCCACAGAATTATAAGCAAATCTTGTCTGCTAAATGAACTAGTGTAGGCAATAGCCATATGACATAGCCAGAGCCTAACATAAGGACAACTCAGAGTATGCAATTCTGTTCTTCTGAAATAGACTACATTTTCTTCATATCATGTTTCTTTAGACCTGTCTAAAATAAAAAATTTGGTTTATTGTGATGGCGTAGGCTATATTACATTGATTTATTCGTTTGTTTTAAATGTTGATGTTCCAAAGGTCTGCATCAGTGGATTGGTAGGCTATGCGTTGAAGCCAATAAATGCTAAATGTGTTAATGTTAATTAACGGTCAATTACCGTGAGACCGGCAGGTACAGTTATTTGCTTGACAATCACCGGCTGACTAAATTTCATGACCACCACTGCCCTAGTTGGGAGCACCAGTGCTACCAATGATTTTTTTTTTAATGTAGAGCCCTGCATGTACTTCATCCACTCTACCTCACACCTGGACCCTAATCCTTCCTCCTCCTCCTCTAGATGCGTAACACCAGGATCGACCTGTTGGAGGAGGAGCTACGACTCCTTAAAGAGGATATCGGGTACCGCAACACCAAGAACAGTTCTCTGGAGGAGGCGTTAGCTCGCTATCGACTGGAGCTGTCCCAGTTGCAGGAGCAGCTCCACTCTGTGGAGGAGGTGAAGAGGAGCAAGGCCCTACAGTGCAGCGTCACCCAGGACACTCTGGCCTCCACCCACGGCCAACTGAAGGATCTGCAGGAGCAGGTGGCCCGCCTCACCTCCCTCATGGAGGAGGAGAAGAGGAAGAGGATGCTGGCGGAGGAGTGCTACAGGAAGCAGCAGGAGGAGCACGAGCAGGTGCTGAGGAGGAGGCAGAAGGAGCTGGAGGAGGCCAACTGGGCCAAGATGGAGGTGGAGAAGAGCGTGGGGGACCGGGAGAGGGAGGCAGAGAGGCTACGGAGGCAGCTGGAGGAGGAGGTGCGACGCTGCAAGGACCTGGAGCAGGAGCTGTCTAAGGTAAGGAGCCAGTGCAGTGTGGAGATCAGTAACCTAAAGCTCAGCTACGACTCCCAGATGACCTTCTGCAGGACGGACATCCAGCACCTGTCTGCCCAGAGGGAGGAGGTGGACCAGGGCATCAGACTGCAGTGTGACATGCTAGAGGCCGAGAGGAGAGACCAGGAGGACCAGCTCAGGAGGCTGAAGGTGTGTCTGAGCCAGGCCGAGGAGCAGAGGAGGAGGGCCGAGGAGGAGGCGCATGTTCAGAGATCTGTGGTCACAGAGGAGGTGCGGAGGAGGAGGGAGCTGGAGGCGCAGGTGGAGATGTTAGTTAGGGAGAGAGGGGAGGACAGTAATCAGTATAGAGAGGAGGTGTCCGAGCTCACCAAGGCCCTGCAAGAGAGGAGCGGCCAGCTGGTTCTCCTCACACACAGCCTGGAGGAGGAGCAGAGGAGGAGGAGAGCCCTGGAGGAGGAGAGGACCAGGCTGGAGCTGCTCCTGGGGGAGATTCAGGCCAAGCAGGCCTCCTCCTCCCAGGCCGTGACCCGGCTGAGAGAGGTGGAGGAAAAGCTGGTTAGCATCCGTACAGAGTTTAAGAAGGAGAATGTTGAGAAGAATAAGGCAGAGCAGAGTGTAGCCAGGTTACAGGGACACGTCAGGGAGCTGCAGGCCACGGCTGATAGGCTAGAGGGGGAGGCGGAGGCCCTGAGGAGAACCAACCAGGAGGAGGTGACCAAGAGGAGGCACGTGGAGACAGAGCTCCAGAAAAACACCCACACCATGCGGGAGTACACCAGCACCATCACCACCCTACGCCGGAGCCAGGAGGAGGCCCAAACCACAGGGAGGAGGGGAGAGGAGGAGCACAGGAAACTCCAGGAGGAGCTGGAGAGGAGGTTGAAGGAGTTCAAGGCCTCCACGGAGTGCCTGACGTCCCTGAGCTCTGAGCTGAAGTCTCTCCAACAGCAGTTCCTCCAGGAGCAGGCTAAAGTCCGTGAGGAAAACCTGCGCAATGAAACACTCTACAAGACCATTGAGGAGAAGAGCCGGGCGCTCAACGAGAGCTCTGTAGAACGGGAACGACTCCAGACCCTGACCCTGACACTGACCAAGGAGCGACTGCGACTCGAGGAGGAGCTGAGGGGAGTGAAGAACGAGAGAGATGATTTGCTGAGAACCAGACAGGGAGCTGATGATGAGCTGGTGTCTCAGATCACTGCTCTGGAGCTGCAGCTGAAGAGCAGCTTGAGAAGCAGCGTGGAGACCCAGAGCCTGGTGGCAGAGCTCTCTTCAGAGAGGGAGAAACTCAGGATGGAGATAGATCAAGTCCAGAGGCAGGCCATGGAGGTACTTGTCTTGGACCTTTTAGAGGTTCATGTCGGACTGTTTTGTGTTTCTCTAAATCAAACTATACTCCTTTAGTTAGTCTTAGTGGAATAGGCTTTAGGCTGGCTGTGGACAATGCCTACTCTTGCATGCTGAAATACCTCCTGTTGATGCCTTTGATTGTTCTTTGTTTTGTTTTTTGCTCTGATCAGATTGTGAAACACATACAAGTTATTCTTATGTGTTGGCATTTGCATTTTCAATCGTTAGATTAAAAGAAAAAAAACGAATGCTTCCCCCTCTGCCTTCTCTCACAAAACTGCTATCCCGCCCACAACTATACTCTTAGAAAAAAGGTGTTATCTAGAACCTAAAATGGTTCTTCGGCTCTCCCTTTGAAGAACCCTTTTGATTCAATGTAGAACCTTTTTGGGTTCCATATAGGACCCTTTTCACAGTCGGTTCTACATGGAACCCAAAAGGGTTCTACGTGGAACCAAAAAGGGTTCTTCCTCTAACCAAAAAGGGTTATCTTATGGGGACAGCCGAAATAAAACTTTTTTTTCTAAGAATGTAGACGCTTCCTCTGTGATTGAACAATCAGCATGCTTTTTTGCCATTGCTTGTTTTGTCTGCAATGATCCACAGTGTGTATATCATCATGGGTCCTCTGGTGTCTGTTTGTGTCTCTGTAGTGTCATCCTCAAGTCCTTGTCTAGTCTAGAAGTCCCTTTGTCTAGTCTAGATATCAGTCCTAGTCTACAGTGTCTGCCTATTTCCTTTGTAAGTTCTGGAAACCTACAATGTACAAATGTGCCTTTAATTGCACTCACTTTCAATTGTATGTGAATTGTGTGTTGATGTATCCATGTTGCGGTTTAACTGGTAATCTCTTTACTCTTATCATTTTTAATTGATAACTGCTCATTGTTTATGTGTGGGTAAGTTATTGGAGCTGTGTTGTGTTTCTTCAATAACAAAGCATGCTGTCACATGTCGTTCTTATTGTAAATGCCAAATCACTATATTTTGTGACATTTTTAAACAAATTCATTCATTCTTATTCTCAAACTAATTACTCAACTAATATTTGTTGCCCCTTCCTCTGTCTGTCTATCTCTCCTCCACCCCTATCTCCTCTCTCCCTCCCCATCTTTATCCCTCTCCCTCAACCCCTCTCCCCCATCTCTCCCCATCCAGACCTCCTCTCTGATACAGTCCACCAAGACCCAGTACAGCGAGATGGTGATGGAGAAAGATGCTCTTCTGCTAAAGCTGAAGCAGACAGACCAAGACAGGGCCAGGTCCCAGAAGCTGGAGGAAGAACTAAACCGCATCAAACTATCTCTGGAGTCCGAGTTACGCCTCAAACTACGTCTGCAGGAGGAGAACGAGAAGGTGTGTATTGTTGATTTCACTTTGCCGTCTAGAAACAACTTTAATATATATATATATATATATTTATTTTAAATTCATCCATTCATCCATTCCTTTATCCATTCCTTCATTAATTCATTCACCATTCAGGCCAAAAAGGACTTCCTGTACTGGAAGGGCCAGTATGAGTCCAAAGAAGGTGCTGTGAGGCAGTTTGACTCCGTGAAGGAGAAACTGGAGCGGGAGAGGAGCTCTCTGAAGACTGAGATTGAGCGGCTGATGAGAGAGCTGAGGGAGGGGGAGGACAGGTATAAGAGCAAGCTGCTGATCACCCAGACCCAGCTCTCTGAATTGACCTACGTCAGAGACACCCTGGAGGCAGAGTTGAGGAAACTCAGGGAGCGGCCCGACGCCTGCGCCAAACACACCCAGACGGACGAGAGCGGGAAGAAAGAACTGGACCCCGCCACGCTGGTCTTCGACGGCGTCCGTAAGACAGTGACGGCCAAACAGCTGCTAGACTGCGGGGTCATCGACAAGCCAACCTATGGCCAGTTGCTGAAGGGTCAGAAGACGGTCCGTGAGGTATCTGTGGACATCAAACTGAATCTGAAAGGGACCGGCATCATCGCTGGTGTTGCTGCAGACTGTCAGGATAAAATGACGCTCACAGAGGCCAAGAGAGCCAACATCCTCTCTGAAGACAGCGCCACCTTGCTGCTGGAGGCCCAAGCTGCCACAGGCCACATAGTGGATCCCAGAGCCAACGAGAAGATGTCGGTGGAGGAGGCAATTAAGAGAGGAGTGGTGGATGAGGAGGATAGAGAGAGGCTGGTGGCTGCAGAGGCTGCCTGTCTGGGGTACCGTGACCCCAATACCACCAAGCCCCTGTCAGCAGGCCAGGCTATGAGGAAGGGCCTGATCGATAGAGACACAGCTCTACGGATGCTGCAAGCCCAGGAGTCTGTCGGGGGCATCATAGACCCTGTCCTCAGTGTCTTCCTCCCTAAAGACGCAGCCATGGACCGGGACCTGATCGACGAGGACCTGTACCGGGCCTTAAACCAACGACCTGAGTGTTACCTGGACCCAGACACCCAGATGGGAGCCAGCTACGTCTCCCTGAAGAGGAGATGCAAGGCCGAACCCACCACTGGTCTCCTGCTCCTCCCTGCCCCAGAGAAGCCCATGACGGTGAAGGGTCTCAGGGGAGAGGTGTCTATCAAGGATCTGATGGACGCTAACCTCTTGGAGAAATCGGACATGGACCAACTGAAGGATGGCAAACTGACTAGCCAGGACATCGAGGACCGGTTGAGGTCGTACCTCTGCGGCTCCACCTGCATCGCAGGGGTCTATGACGAGGCTAACGACAAGACCCTATCCATCTACCAGGCCATGAAGGAAGGGTTACTGAGGCCCGGCACAACCCTGGAGCTCCTCGAAGCCCAGGCCGCCTCCGGATTCATGATCGATCCCATCAACAACCTCTGTTTGACCGTGGCCGATGCCTACAAGAGCGGCCTGGCCGGGCCGGAGTTCAAAGACAAACTCTTGTCTGCAGAGAGGGCCGTCACCGGGTACAAATATCCAGGCACAGACAAGATAATCTCCTTGTTCCAAGCCATAGAGAAGGGGCTGATTGAGAAGGGACATGGGATCCGTCTACTGGAGGCTCAGATCGCCAGCGGTGGCATCATCGACCCCAGGCACAGCCACCGCATCGAGGTGGAGACTGCCTATAAGAAGGGCTACTTCGGAAAGGAGATGAACCAGATCCTGACAGACGAAGGGGACGACTCCAAGGGCTTCTTCGATCCCAACAACCAGGACAACCTGACTTATCTCCAGCTAAAGAAACGCTGCATCATAGACCAGAAGACTGGCCTGGTTCTCCTGCCCATCAAGGACAAGAAGAAGAAGGAGCCTCCGCAGACAACGACGCAGAAGAATACTCTGAGGAAGAGGAGGGTGGTGATCGTAGACCCAGACACCAATAAGGAGATGAGTGTGAAGGAAGCGTACGACAAGGGGCTCATCGACTACGAGACCTTCCTGGAGCTGTCGCAGCAGGAGTGTGAGTGGGAGGAGATTACGATCACAGCCCAGGATGGATCCTCACGATTGGTCATCATCGACAGGAAAACTGAGATCCAGTATGACATCAGAGAGCTGCTGGAGAAGAGGGTGATCGACCAATCAGTGTACGACCAGTACCAATCCAAGACGATCACTCTCGCACAGTTCGCTGACATCATCATCAGCAAGACCAAAGCCGCCAGATCCTCTGCCGCCTCCTCCTCCTCCACATCATCAACATCATCATCCAAAGCCAGAGCATCATCAGCAGCAACATCAGCATCCTCCCTGTCTTCATCAACCACCTCCGCTCAGCGGATCACTTCCATCAAGGCTGAGAAGACGAGCTCCATCATTGGTGGCTCCACCACTGGCAGCTCCACCATAGATGGCTCCAGCATTGGCAGCTCCTCTGGTGGCTCCCTTGGCAGTTCTACCACGTCCAGAACCACCACCATCAGCTCCTCTACCCAGCCCGATGGCCCTCCCTCCCACAGCTCCCTGAAGAACATCGCCAGCATCTCGGTCTCCCTGGCTGGCCCTGCTGAAGCTGTGGTCTTGGATGGGGAGCAAAGCCCTGTGGGCGCCATCTTTGACATGGAGGCCCTAGAGAAGATCTCCATTTCTGAGGCCCACAAACGTGGCCTGTTGGACAGCATCTCTGCCCAGAGACTACTGGAAGCCCAGGCCTGCACAGGAGGCATTGTAAACCCTTCCGATGGCAGGCGCCTGTCCATCCAGGAGGCCTCCCGCCAGGGGATCATTGAGAACGACATGGCTACCAGGCTGAAGCCTGCCCAGAAGGCCTACATTGGGTTTGAAGATGTCAAGTGTAAACGCAAGATGTCCGCCGCAGAGGCCATGAGGGAGAAGTGGCTTCCCTACGAGGCGGGCCACCGCTTCCTGGAGTTCCAGTTTGTTACCGGTGGCCTGTACGACCCGGAGCTGGGCCGCAGGAGGACCATCGAGGAGGCTGTCAAAGTGGGCTGGCTGGACGGGAGGACGGCCCAGAAACTCCAGGACATGAGGCACCACGCCAAGAACCTAACCTGCCCCAAGACCAAGCTGAAGATCTCTTATAAAGAAGCGCTGGATAACTGCTTGTTGGAGGAGAATACGGGAGTCAAGATGCTCCAGGCTGCCTCCACCTCTTCCAGAGGGATCAGTAGTCCATACAACTCCTCCGCTCCCGGGTCCACCTCGGGCTCCAGGACCGGGTCGAGGTCGGGCTCCCGGAGAGGCAGCGTGGACCAGGGGTCGCCTGGCTCCTCCAGCCGATACAACGTCATAAGCAGCTCCACCTACAGCCGCACCTCCTACAGTTCTAGCTCCATTTCATAGAGTGATGGAGAATAGGGGAAAGAGGGAAAACTATTAATTAATTAATTAACTTAGTTGTCTTACTCTTTGCATACTTTTAGTTTCTGTTTTTACATATTACCTTTTGCTTTACTTATGTAAGGAAAACCTGCTTATTGGTCAGTTAGAAATGTGCCTGTCCTAGATAAAGTGGTACCATCAAATGTTGTATGTTATGTTTAAAGTGACAAAAGATGGATAAGAATGGAAAAACACATTCTTAGGTGTTTGAATTGAAGTAAAATATAAAATAAAACATTATGTATACTGAACAAAAATATAAACGCAACATACAACAATTTCAAAGATTTTACTGAGTTACAGTTCATATAAGGAAATCAGTCAATTGAAATAAATTAATTAGGCCCTAATCTATGGATTTCACATGACTGGGCAAGGGTGCAGCCACCCACCGGGGAGCCAGGCCCTGCCAATCAGAATTAGTTTTTTTTTCCCCATAAAAGGGCTTTAATACAGACAGAAATAGTCCTCAGCACCCACACACACCTCCTCAGATGATCCCACAGGTCAAGAAGCTGGATGTGGAAGACCTGGGCTGGCGTGGTTACACGTGGTCTGCTGTTGTGAAGCCGGTTGGACGTACTGCCAAATTCTCTAAAATTACGCTGGAGGCAGCTTATTGTAGAGAAATGAACATTAAATTGTCTGGCAACAGCTCTGGTGGACATTCCTGCAGTCAGCATGCCAATTGCACGCTCCCTCAACTTGAGACGTCTGTGGCATTGTGTTGTGTGACAAAACTGCACATTTTAAAGTGGTATTTTATTGTCCCCAGCACAAGGTGCACCTGTGTAATGATCATGTTGTTTAATCAGCTTCTTGATATGCCACACCTGTCAGGTGGATAGATTATCTTGGCAAAGGAGAAATATTAACTTACAGTGATGTAAGCTTTTTGTGCGTAAGGAACATTTCTGGGATTTTTTATTTCATCTCATGAAACATGGGACCAACACTTTACATGTTGAGTTTATATTTTTGTTCAGTGTAAATTGGCTTTGTTCTCTCAGACAGCATGATACGACCACTTCTTTGTCAGACTTTATTTTCCCAAACTCCATAGTACTACAGTATAAATTGATTTATTTCGGTGACAATAATGTAAAAATGAAATGAATGTATAAAAGGTTGGATGGGAGGAGTGTTTTGGAGAACATTAATAGGTGTTATGTTTACTTTGAATTCGGAAGTACAGTACTGTTTCTTGCATGGGATGGTGTCATAATAACATTGCTTAGTGTTTATACTGTTAGTGTAATATTGGACTGTCTTTTAACACATTAACTATTTTTCAATTTCTCAAAATAAAATGTTACATCGTTGCACTTTGGTGTCTGTGTGAAATAGCCTATAATATCATATGGTCAACAAGATTATGTGATGATTTTGGTACGAAAACATGAAAATACCACACTATGCCAAAGATATGAGCATCATGACATGTATTCATAGTCATAAATATTGTGTGAAATAAACACAGAAATTGTTAATGATCGTTTAGAATACGTGTCAAACTCGTTCCACGGAGGGCCGAGTGTCTGCGGGTTTTCGCTCCACCCTTGTACTTGATTGATGAATTAAGGTCACTGATTAGTAAGGAACTCCCCTCACCTGGTTGTCTTAATTCAAAGGAAAACCCAAAAACCAGCAGACATTAAGCCTTCCGTGGAATGAGTTTGACACCCCTGGTTTAGACTGTGCCAGATGGCTCTCACATAAAACCTAAATGTGTCGGTCAGAGAGAGTTTTCAAAATCTGGTTTAGAGAATACATAACATAGTCAAATAATGAATCGTATAATTGTCAAATTTTCAACTATACAAGTCTGTCAAACTTTAACTTCTCAGTTCAACTCACTCGATTCTAGTGAGTTGGACTCAGACATTGGATCGCAGTAGACGTTCAATGTTTTTCCCCAGCTACACTGCATTGTTGTTTCTCTTTGCTTATTTGAGCTGATCTTGCCATAATATGGACTTGGTCTTTAACCAAATAGGGCTATCTTCTGTATACCCCCCTACCTTGTCACAACACAACTGATCGGTTCAAACGCATTAAGAAGGAAAGAAATTCCACAAATTAACTTTTAAGAAGGCACACCTGTTAATTGAAATGCATTCCAGGTGACTACCTGTGGGGATCTATTTTCTCATAACTGGAGGGATGAATAGCTTAGAAGGAATGCATTGGTGATTAAACATAGAAGGTTTATACTGTACTGATATGAATTGTTTCACATAACAAGCTGTGATTCATGTGAGGAACGTTAGGGGCTAGGATGAGATAAAACTTGTATTTCTTACAGATAAGACTTGTATTTCTTACAGATACGAACACTGCCTCTTTGTTGTCTGTGAACCGTTGTCTGTGAACCGTCCTTGAACGTAGGTACTTACAGTACAGTGGAACGGTGTCTATGGGCGCTGACTCTACAGGTTGTTATAACAACTTATGCCTGGCAACAGTGTGCAACAGTGGAGCGCCAAGGGGCTGGGACCAGCCGGTGCGCCAACGGATTGGCTGAGTAAGTCTAAACCACGCTCAGTCTCTACTCTGATTGGCCCAGCAGGGAGTGGGAACTATCTCTGTCAGAGTATTTGAAGAAGAACCTGTAACAATGGATCAGTTCTCTGAGTGCCCTGTGTGGTATTTCAGTGAGCCCGTATACGAACCATCATACTTATCATACATACATTTTGCATATAATAAATTTAGCTTGGATTGAATATCTCTTGATTATGTTTTCTATTATTCCAATACCAGATTTGAATTACGCAATTTCTAACAATTGGTGACCTCCGACTGTGATCTGGTAGCGGAACTTCGCTGGAATTCACCCAGCCCATTGGACATCGCGTTCAATGTTTTTCCCCAGCTACACTGCATTGTTGTTTCTCTTTGCTTATTTGAGCTGATCTTGCCATAATATGGACTTGGTCTTTTACCAAATAGGGCTATCTTCTGTACACCCCCCTACCATGTCACAACACAACTGATCGGTTCAAACGCATTAAGAAGGAAAGAAATTCCACAAATTAACTTTTAAGAAGGCACACCTGTTAATTGAAATGCATTCCAGGTGACTACCTCATGAAGCTAGTTGAGAGAATGCCAAGAGTGTGCAAAGCTATCATCAAGGCAAAGAGTGGCTATTTGAAGAATGATTTGTTTAACACTTTTTTGGCTACTACATGATTCCATATGTGTTATTTCATTGTTTTGATGTCTTCACTATTATTCTACAATGTAGAAAATAAAGAAAACCCCTTGAATGAGTAGGTGTTCTAAAACTTTTGACCGGTAGTGTATATATATTACATTTCGATTTATCAGGTGGTGCTGCAGCACCCGCAGCACCCTTACTTCCGCGGCTATGCTTTGGTATGAGCTATACACCTATCAGATATACCATTGTGGTTACAGTAGCTAGCTGCAGACAGTCGTGCGTGCCTTCAGAGTGACTGCAACCTGTAAACGGCGTGGATGCAGTGAGTCCCATTGGTGCAACAACACGGTAGGAGGCTATCGGAGCTTTACAGAAAGCACATTTTAACAATGCATTGTACTTCTGTATGTAGGGCTATTCATCTCACAGTTTTCAATGGTTGTCGGTAAACGATTGTCGTGTATTGAGATTATGACGTTGTTAAATGTTTAACTGAAAGAATGTTGATTTTAGTATCAAGAGGGAATGTTTTAGTGTAACGCCACATACAACAGACAGGAAGTGTGTTGTAGACAGGGGATTGGACAGTAGGGGGAGCCACCCACATCTTGGGAGTTTATATATACTGGGGGAAAAACGAAGGAGGGTCAGAAAGCATTGAGATTCATTTGGGACGGCTTCTCCAGACTGCGCGGGTCTGTAACTTATGCTGTAACCTCGTGATATTAATAAAAGCCTCTAAAACACGGTGCAGCCTAAGTGGATTCTTTGATTGACAGCAATACCCACCAGCATTCGACGCGATACCACACGATCATTTTAATACTGTCACAGAAAATACTATAAACTGCAAGCTTAGCTAGCTACATCAATTGTTCTGTGGCTACATTTAAGTTAAGTGATAATGCCCGAGAAGCCGGTGTTTCCAAACACCAACTTCGAGGGCATTATCACATTTATACATACTCAAATAATGATATACATTTTCACTAACGTTATTTTGATTAATTTATTCATAATATTTCATCCTTCCACGAGATATAGTCCAGACACAAATCTAAGGTTGCTACCCAAGCCGACTAGTCGTTCGTTCTATCGGTTCGGTTGCCAGAGACACGACCGAGTCGTTAAGTCTTTTTGTTTTGTATCTATGGACCGGACCCAGTCGTTCGTTCTAAATGTTCCATTGCCATACTGGCTGGCAACGTTCTTATCCCTTGCTTGCTAGCTAGCCAACTATGGCTAACTTACAGTCATGTCAAACCGTGCAGCCCGAATAACAGCAAAGTAGCTGCATATTTTTTATTTATTTATTTTATTTCACCTTTATTTAACCAGGTAAGCCAGGTGAGAACAAGTTCTCATTTACAACTGCGACCTGGCCAAGATAAAGCAAAGCAGTGCGATAAAAACAACAACAGAGTTACATATGGGGTAAAACAAAACATAAAGTCAAAAATACAACAGAAAATATATACAATTAGCTAATGTTGCGCGATTTCGCCTGGCAGAGAAAATGTGCTCTCGTCAGGACACTGCTAGCCAACAACACACCTAACACAATCAAACTGAAGCTGGAAAGACAGCAAAATAGCTGCGTTTCGTTTGACCTGTTTTCTATTGACATTTCTTTGTATATGTCCATAAAAATTATGCCAGCTGATTCATGATTTCGAATGGGTGAGAAAAGCTGCCTGACTGTCTGTCTCGTCCCGACTCGAGACAGGTTCATTATGGGACAGCTGGAGATTGTTTCAATATTGAAATTATATGTTGCTAATGTCGGAGAGACACACAGTAAGGTTAATACAAATCTCCGCTGTTAAAAAACCAAATGCTAGTCTAAAGGAAATGGGAGATCATGTCTAGATGCTTTTTACAGTGTAGATCTAGTGTATACATTGCCAGGCTGGGCTGATGAGACAGTGGATTGCGCAATGAGATGGAACAGAGTAAATGGGCATTTCAACGTCATAGATTTAATCGGTGGTAATTTGTGGAATTGACACCTGCTGAAACTATAGTAACTGTTGACTGTCATTGACAGCCCTGTCAACAAAGCTAACCTGGATTGATTATCATCGATGTTGATATTGTCTCGCAATCTATATCACTTTTAATTGTAGAGGTAGATTCAATGTTGATCAGTGTTTTCTTTAATATTCAAGCTTTTAGACGAGGGACGTAAAAACCGTCATACCGGTCGATATGCAGAAGGTGGCGGAAAAAGCAAGCCAGCAGGAATGTATGCGTTGCTATCGTGATTTCAGTAAACAAACAGTGCAAATCTACATCCGGTAGAAAACAACGCTACGGCAGAAGGCAAAAGTTGAAATATTTGAAATCAATTCCCGTCTAACGTCGTGCTCTCGTTAAAAACAATGACATCCGGTTTGCCGTCTACCTCCTACCATCTAAACGCAGCATTACTGTCAATTAGCCTGCCTGATAAACTGTGCTGTGATGTTGATGTGATTTTCAGGAGACACATCATTACCCTTCTGTGATTTGTCTAGGTTGTCTGTATGGAAGAAGACCCCCAGAGGAACTTCCGTTCTGCATATTATGAGAAGGTGGGCTTCAGAGGGGTGGAGGAGAAGAAATCACTGGAGATTTCTGCTGAAGGAAAACCCACTGTGTATGGGCAACATGGACATAGGATTATTACAACAGTGACATTACAGTATTACTGTTACAACAAGTGCACCATAACAACTGCTAGTACTGATGCTTCCACCTTCTACCTTTATTGTTATGTAGGCCTATGCCATTAACCTTGCCTTGCATGTGTGTAATTTGCTTACCTTGTGCTTTTTTACTTGTGTATTTCTCTGTCAGATGTGGAGAAGCTGAGCACATTCAGTCAGAGGTTCCCTCTGCCCTCCATGTACAGGATTCATGTATGGAAGGTACTGCTGGGTAAGTCTCACACACAAACTACATCCAAAACAGGTGAAACTCTGGAAGACTAAGCTTTTAACACCTCTCACTATTAAACCCATAGACACCCTGTCTCTCACCAGACAGACAGTAGAGAAGAGAACACACCAAAAGCACAGCTATGCCTAGGGCTGTTACGGTGACTGTATTACCGCCAGACTGGCAGTCACGAGTCATGACGGCAGTCAAATTCCACGTGACCATTTAGTCACAGTATTTAGGCTTCTCCAAGCTCTGATGCTGCTGATGGTCATTAGTAGCCTATCAAACGTACTAACCGCCTGGTACTCAGCACTCTATTGTCCCTCTAATCACTCTGACATCAATGCAAATGTGATCGAACATCTAATCAAACACAACAGCGCCGGAGAAGATGGCTGCCGTTTTACAGCCCTCTAACCAATTGTACTATTATGTGTGTTTTTCCGCGTTATTTGTAATTTATTTTGTACATAATGTTTCTGCCATCGTCTCTTATAACCAAAAAGAGCTTCTGGATATCAGGACAGCGATTACTCACCTCGTATTGGACGAAGATTTTTTCTTCAACGAGGCGGCCGCGAAGGATATCATACAGACACCCGACAAGGCCCAAATCCCTGTCATTCGCGTGAGGAAGAGACGGAGATATCGTGGACGTAGATCGGGGTGCCTTGTAAGGATCCGACGGCGAGCGAGTAAACTGCCTCTTCCATCAATCCTATTAGCCAACGTTCAATCTTTTGAAAATAAAGTGGACGACTTAAGATTACGGTTATCCTACCAACGGGACATTAAAAACTGTAATATCTTATGTTTCACCGAGTCGTGGCTGAACGACGACAATGATAACATTCAGCTAGCAGGCTATACGCTACATCGGCAGGACAGAACGGCTGACTCCGGTAAGACAAGGGGTGGCGGTCTGTGTATATTTGTAAACAACAGCTGGTGCACAAAATCAAATACTAAGGAAGTCTCGAGGTTTTGCTCGCCTGAGGTAGAGTATCTTATGATAAGCTGTAGACCACACTATTTACCAAGAGAGTTTTCATCTATATTTTTCATAGCTGTCTATTTACCACCACAAACCAATGCTGGCATTAAGATTGCACTGAATGAGTTGTACAAGGCCATTAATCAACAGGAAAACGCTCATCCAGATGCAGCGCTCCTAGTGGCCGGGGACTTTAATGCAGGGAAACTTAAATCCGTTCTACCTAATTTCTACCAGCATGTTAAATGTGCAACCAGAGGGAAAAAAACTCTAGACCACCTTTACTCCACACACAGAGACGCATACAAAGCTCTCCCTCGCCCTCCATTTGGCAAATCTGACCATAACTCTATCCTCCTGATTCCTGCTTATAAGCAAAAACTAAAGCAGGAAGCACCAGTGACTTGGTTAATAAAAAAGTGGTCAGATGACGCAGATGCTAAGCTACAGGACTGTTTTGCTAGCACAGACTGGAACATGTTCCGGGATTCTTCAGACAGCATTGAGGAGTACACCACATCAGTCACTGGCTTCATCAATAAGTGCATCGATGATGTCGTCCCCACAGTGACCGTACGTACATACCCCAACCAGAAGCCATGGATTACAGGAAACATCCGCACTGAGCTAAAGGGTAGAGCTGCCGCTTTCAAGGAACGGGACTCTAACCCGGACGCTTATAAGAAATCCCGCTATGACCTCCGACGAACCATCAAACAGGCAAAGAGTCAATACAGGACTAAGATTGAATCGTACTACACTGGCTCTGACGCTCGTCGGATGTGGCAGGGCTTGAAAACTATTACAGACTACAAAGGGAAGCACAGCCGCGAGCTGCCCAGTGACACAAGCCTACCAGACGAGCTAAACCACTTCTATGCTCGCTTCGAGGCAAGCAACACTGAAGCATGCATGAGAGCACCAGCTGTTCCGGATGACTATGTGATCACGCTCTCCGTAGCCGATGTGAGTAAGACTTTTAAGCAGGTCAACATTCACAAGGCCGCAGGGCCAGACGGATTACCAGGACGTGTACTCCGAGCATGTGCTGACCAACTGGCAAGTGTCTTCACTGACATTTTCAACATGTCCCTGACTGAGTCTGTAATACCAACATGTTTCAAGCAGACCACCATAGTCCCCGTGCCCAAGGACTCTAAGATAACCTGCCTAAATGACTACCGACCCGTAGCACTGACGTCTGTAGCCATGAAGTGCTTTGAAAGGCTGGTCATGGCTCACATCAACAGCATTATCCCAGAAACCCTAGACCCACTCCAATTTGCATACCGCCCCAACAGATCCACAGATGATGCAATCTCTATTGCACTCCACACTGCCCTTTCCCACCTGGACAAGAGGAACACCTACGTGAGAATGCTATTCATTGACTACAGCTCAGCATTCAACACCATAGTGCCCTCTAAGCTCATCACTAAGCTAAGGATCCTGGGACTAAACACCTCCCTCTGCAACTGGATCCTGGACTTCCTGACGGGCCGCCCCCAGGCGGTAAGGGTAGGTAACAACACATCTGCCACACTGATCCTCAACACGGGGGCCCCTCAGGGGTGCGTGCTCAGTCCCCTCCTGTACTCTCTGTTCACCCATGACTGCATGGCCAGGCACGACTCCAACACCATCATTAAGTTTGCCGACGACACAACAGTGGTAGGCCTGATCACCGACAACGATGAGACAGCCTATAGGGAGGAGGTCAGAGATCTGGCCGTGTGGTGCCAGGACAACAACCTCTCCCTCAACGTGACCAAGACAAAGGAGATGATTGTGGACTACAGGAAAAAAAAGAGGACTGAGCACGCCCCCATTCTCATCGACGGGGCTGTAGTGGAACAGGTTGAGAGCTTCAAGTTCCTTGGTGTCCACATCACCAACGAACTATCATGGTCCAAACACACCAAGACAGTCGTGAAGAGTGCACGACAAAGCCTATTCCCCCTCAGGAGACTAAAAATATTTGGCATGGGTCCTCAGATCCTCAAAAAATTCTACAGCTGCACCATCGAGAGCATCCTGACTGGTTGCATCACCGCCTGGTATGGCAACTGCTTGGCCTCCGACCGCAAGGCACTACAGAGGGTAGTGCGTACGGCCCAGTACATCACTGGGGCAAAGCTTCCTGCCATCCAGGACCTCTATACCAGGCGGTGTCAGAGGAAGGCCCTCAAAATTGTCAAAGACTCCAGCCACCCTAGTCATAGACTGTTCTCTCTGCTACCGCACGGCAAGCGGTACCGGAGTGCCAAGTCTAGGTCCAAAAGACTTCTCAACAGCTTCTACCCCCAAGCCATAAGACTCCTGAACAGCTAATCATGGCTACCCGGACTATTTGCACTGCCCCCCCACCCCATCCTTTTTACACTGCTGCTACTCTGTTAAGTATTTATGCATAGTCACTTTAACTCTACCCACATGTACATATTACCTCAACTACCTCAACTAGCCGGTGCCCCCGCACATTGACTCTGCAACGGTACCCCCCTGTATATATAGCCTCCCTACTGTCACTTTATTTTACTTCTGCTCTTTTTTTTCTCAACACTTTTTTTGTTGTTGTTTTATTTTTACTTTTTTTGTTTAAAATAAATGCACTGTTGGTTAAGGGCTGTAAGTAAGCATTTCACTGTAATGTCTGCACCTGTTGTATTCGGCGCATGTGACCAATAAAATTTGATTTGATTTAATGAGAGCTCATGTAGCGCAACATTTCTATAGGCTGCAATTGCATGAGAAAACAGAGTGATGGCCTCTATTAAAAAGAGGAGGATCCCATCAGCTTTCTATAGGCTGTAACAAACAATTGGGGGAACTCACGGGGCAGATAGTAACCACTTAAAAGGAAGCGATTCCCAAACCTTCCATAACAAAGCCATCACCTACAGAGAGATGAACTTGGAGAAGAGTCCCCTAAGTAAGCTTGTCCTGGGCCTCTGTTCACAAACACAAACAGACCCCACACAGCCCCAGGACAACAACAACAACAACAACAACAACACAATTAGACCCAACCAAATCATGAGAAAACAAAAAGAGAATTACTTGACACATTGGAAAGAACAAACAAAAAAACAGAGCAAACTAGAATGCTATTTGGCCCTAAACAGAGAGTACACAGTGGCAGAATACCTGACCACTGTGACTGACCCAAACTTAAGGAAAGCTTTGACTATGTACAGACTCAGTGACCATAGCCTTGCTATTGAGAAAGGCCGCCGTAGGCAGACCTGGCTCTCAAGAGAAGACAGGCTATGTGCACACTGCCCACAAAATGAGGTGGAAACTGAGCTGCACTTCCTAACCTCCTGCCAAATGTATGACCATATTAGAGACACATATTTCCCTCAGATTACAGCGATCCACAAAGAATTCGAAAACAAACCCAATTTTGATAAACTCCCTTATCTACTGGGTGAAAAACCACAGTGTGCCATCACAGCTGCAAGATTTGTGACCTGTTGCCACAAGAAAAGGGCAACCAGTGAAGAACAAACACCATTGTAAATACAACCCATATTTATGTTTATTTATTTTCCCATTTGTACTTTAACTATTTGCACATTGTAACAACACTGTATATATACATAATATGACATTTGAAATGTCTTTATTCTTTTGAAACTTCTGAGTGTAATGTTTACTGTTAATATTTATTTCACTTTTGTTTACTATCTACTTCCCTTGCTTTGGCAATGTTAACACACGTTTCCCATGCCAATAAAGCCCTTAAATTGAATTGAATTGATAGTAAGGTCGCAATGACACAGAAAGCAGTTCAATGTCGGGGTACAGAGTCGCTCTCTTACCAGGATCGCGGTCCGCTCTGACCAGGGTGAAGGTGGCCGGCTCCACTTCTCTGTCCGGGACTCATCCAGCCAAGTCTCCCAGCTGTATTGGGATTCAGCTGCCAGCAGCGTTTTCATTATTTAGTCCGTTCGTAGCGGGTATGTACACGATCAACAAGATCAGTCCAAAACCAACCACTGGAAATCCATGGTTGGCAGAATGTTTGTAAACTAAGTCTACAAATTAAAAACATAAAATAACGCCGCACTGCAGGTCGCAACAGAGACGCTGCTAGCCGCCATTGTCTTAGTTACGTTCAACGTTACGTCACGTATGACGAAAGCGCGTAAGTGCAAGCCCACAGACACCCATAGAGAATGTATTGAAAGCTTTGAAATGTGAAAAAAATAGATTTTACATGACAGGCTATGAGAGACTTCTGGGCGATTTTCAACTTGACTGAAATCGCCCCAAAAACGGGCGGGGCCATTTGAAGCACGACTTTAGCCTACTATATTTATTTAAAAACTTTCCTAATATTAAGCACATTGCTTCTCTTTACAACAGGCTACCTGGCTGGCTGAAATGAAAATGAACCACGGGAAAAGCGTCCTCCATTCGCTATTTAAGTGCATAGATGACATGTATTTTTTTCCGCTGCCCCTGTTTCGAGACAGGTGCATGATAATGGTCCATTCTAAATCAAAACAAATTTCACACATGTTATTTAGTATATGTAAAGACAAGATTAAATCAAGAATAGTGTGATGGGTGACAATATTAGGTTATCACTTGTGAATGATATACTGTATTATCACTTGAGAATGATGCCCAGCTTAAGGCAAGAAACAGCGATATGCTTTTTTGCGACTTTTTCAAATCATAGTCGCACACCTCATGTAGCCTAGCACATAGGCCTAAAGTTTGTATCACAACTAAAGTGGCCAAATAACTTGTTAAAATGAAGCACATTAATCCGCTTTACAACGGGTGTAGAGCCTAACTGGAATACATACGCAGCGTGTGAGTTTCAAGTTTGGGGAAGATAATTTTCATCATAGAAATTCATCTTTATATTAAAAGCATTAGATGCATAATCGCATTTGTGGTCACTTTTGAGAATGGTGTTTTCCTGCAAATGGAACATTCATGCTTATAGCCTTCTGCCGTGTGTGCATTGCTGCGCTTATAATGTGAAGAAATAGCCTAATCGTTTATCAATGTTTTAAGCTAAACGTTCTCATCTGTTGCGTCAGGCTCATTGCTCTTAAGGATCGCACCCTTTTTTTTCAATTTTCACCTAAAATGGTATACCCAAATCTAACTGCCTGTAGCTCAGGACCTGAAGCAAGGAAATGCATGTTCTTGATACTATTTGAAAGGAAACGCTTTGAAGTTTGTGGAAATGTAAAATTTATGTAGGAGAATATAACACATTAGATCTGGTAAAAGATAATACAAACAAAAAAACATTTTTTTAAATCTTTGAAATGCAAGAGAAGGCCACAATATACAATTGCAGATTAGGCACAATTTAGATGTTGGCCACTAGATGGCAGCAGTGTGTTTGCAACGTTTCAGATTGATCCAGTGAAGCATTGCAATACTGGACTATTTTGTATCAAGTCTGCCCAAATGTGCCAAATTGGTCAATTGATACATTTTCAAGTACATAACTATAGAGAACATACAAAAATGATATGGTAATACAAAATGTAAGTTTACACACTCCCAGGAATGTCATACATGATGGATCATTAGCTTATACACTAACTTTCACACATCTAGATGCGGGGTGGGTGTGGAGCCAGAGACAGCAGGGGTTCAAACTGTAGAACCCAGTTCCAACATTTAAATATAAAAATGGATTTGATCAAACAAAACTATGCTACATTTTATCTCTGGGACCCTTAGGATGACAAATCAGAGCAAGATTACTGAATGTAAGTACATTATTTACCTTCAGAGGTGAATGTATCAAACCAGTTGCCGTGATACGTTTTGTTGTTGTTGTGCACTCTCCTCAAACAATAGCATAGTATTTTTTTCACTGTAATAGCTACTGTAAATTGGACAGTGCAGTTAGATTAACAAGAATTTAACCTTTCTACCCATATAAGACATGTCTATGTCCTGGAAAGTTTGCTGTTACTTACAACAGTCATGCTAATCACATTAGTGCACGTTAGCTCAACCGTCCCGTATATGGGACACCAATCCCGTAGAGGTTAAAACAGTTTTTTTATGCTAGTGGTTGTATTAATTTGGGATCTATATCATCCCACAACTGTCCCCGACTATGTTTGGAATATTTATTTCTTGCACAGAATAGAATAGGTCAACTTTTGTACTATGGGGGATAGCAGATTGACATAGGCTAGTGCTTTTGCTGTTTGATAGGCCTACTCATCTTGTTGGCTGACGAAAAGTAAATGTGGACAGTTCTTCCAATATCTTCAATATGCACCTCTGAATTGGATAAGGACACGATCAGTTGCGTCCCCGATGTGTCTGTCTTCCCTTGTAGCCTGTGAGAAAGATCTGATCACGTGACGGAGAGCCATGTGAGTGAGAAGTGCTTCGGCACGCAGCCGGGAGAGGGGAATTATAATTATTATATTCAGCCCAAGGGCACATGGGCCACTGGGCGCAAAAGACATTGATATTTTTAGGGGGCATTACGGCCACACAAAGGGGATGCAGACGGGAAATTCGAGGCATTATCAAGTGCTTGTCAAATTGTGAATGAGAGACTGATGAAGTGTGTACAGCCTGCGCAAAAAAACAAAGCAGAGCTCATGCCTTTCATGCAACCTTTTTCAAATCATCATTAGTCATGTCATGCAGCCTTAGAATGTATAAAAAATCCAAACATATAGCCCAACATTTGTATAACAACTACAGTTACATAAATAACTCTAAATTAAGCATATAGGACTACCTGTTTCTTTGTTAACCGCTCAACACAGAATAGCCGGATGTGCAAACTCCCTCAAATCGTTTGGAGAAAATATCCTTTCTATATTATTCAGCTATGTTCAATTGTATTCTTCATACTATAAAATAATGCCATGGAATTTTAAGCAAATCTTGTCTTTTAAATGAACTAGTATAGCCCACAGCCATATGGCATAGCCAGATCAGGGCCTAACATAAGGACAACTTAGAGTATGCTATTCTGTTCTTCTGAATAGACTACATTTTCTTCATATCATGTTTCTTTAGACCTGTCTAAAATAAATAATGGGTTTATTTTGTAATGGGTTTATTTTGATGGTGTAGGCTATATTACATTGATTTATTAGACTTTAAAAAAAGTAGATGTTATAAAGGTCTGCATCAGTGGCTTGTAGGCTATGAGTGGAAGCCAGGAGATGCTAAATGTGTTTTATGTTATTTAACGGTCAATTACCGTGAGACCGGCAGTTATTTGCTTGACAATCACCGGCTGCCAAAATTTCATGACCGCCACAGCCCTAGCTAAGCCCTGTGTCTTCTCTCTAGGCATCCTGCCTCCCCATGGTGACTCCCACGCCCTGGTGGCATGGTACAGACGGGAACAGTAGAAGGACGTGTTGGAAGCCCTGAAGGTGATGAGGTTCGTCCACATGGCCACGCCCCCACACGCAGGTGTATCTACACATGTTCCAGCTGGAGAGCCATGTGCTGCCCCGACGCTCTGAGACCATACCCCTGGTAAGAAGAGAGAGAGAGAGGAAGATACCTGATTTGGATAGAGAGAGAACCTGGGGGGCTTTTTTAAATTATTTTTTTATTGTATTTTTATGATTTTCCTGTACTTTTGTATACTTTTTTGCCAGTAGTTCTGAAAGTAGTGCTCATGAGACAAAAGTGGCCCCCAAAAATGTTGTACTATGTCACATATATGCAGATATGTGCACCATATCATTGCTCTCTTGCTCTGCTGTGTGTGCGTCTTGCTAGCTGTCACTCAAATGGCGAAGGGCTGAAGCTCATTGGCTAGAACTCGAATTGCTAGGGGGCTGGCCCACATGGGAGGAAATGTAGGGAAAATGGCGCTGCACAGCTTCCAGAAAACTAGGGATTTCACACTAGGGATTTCATGGCTAATTGAGGTAAGACAGTAATTCTGCTAATAGATTATGCATGTATGAACTACACATTGCCACATCCAGCCCAAAGTGGGAGATTTAAAAAATAGTTACTAGTCGCCAAAGTTTCGAAGTATGTCTTTAACAGAACATACAAACATTTGGAGAGAGGTGAAAGAATCAGATCCTTGTCCTGAACGTATAACTTACCTCTGCCTGGTCCAACTCAGAAACTTGATTTATCTTATTCTTTGTTCTTAGTAGAATCATTAGGTTAGGTTACTTAAGTGTGAGACTGACAGGTGTGTCACTGTGTTGGTTTAAGGGAGAGGAAGATGAGGACTTCCTGTCCATAGCTCAAGCCATGGAGGAGATCGTAGAGGACCCTGTGGACTGTTATTGGATGATCAAATGCTTTGTCAACCAGTTCAACAACAAGTTTGGAGATTCCATACCCCATCTGGTGAGTAGTGGAGTGGGTAAGGGGATGGAAGGAATGGGCTGGACTACACTTTTGTGGTATTACCTTGCTTGTTGTTGCTGCTGCTACTCTTATTGTTGTTGTTTTGATTGAGTCAAATAACCAACAAAGATTCGTACATGTAGCAGATGTGTGTGTGTCTACACTTCATCTATCTTTCAACACATCTAACCCTGTGTCCTGACTCTCTCTACCCCCTCTTTCTGTGGCTTGTTGGTTTAGCCCAAGAGTCTGGAGCACTATTTGTGTGTGGAGGAGTCTCGGCTACTGAACCATCTGAAGAATACAGGGGCCTGCCATACAGCCTATGGTTCAGACGCTGCTTCGCTGGCTGCCTGCCCGAGTCTAGTCTGCAGAGGTTAGACACACTGATGCTTATTTCTCTCAACAACCCAGCTGCGCAGGCGTGAGAGGTGTGATCTTTGCATATGCAAACAAAATTTGTCAAATGACGCACTTTGCTGTTCTGTGAGTGGCGTGGGACTGGGACTTGGTTAGAGAAGTAACGTACCATGTTAGCTATGATGTTTGTTAAATTCATCGCTGTTCGGTTCTGATGTGTCTCTGGACTGAATGTTGGTCTCTCAGGGTGTGGGATAAGGTCATCAGTGGATCCTTTAAGATCCTGGTCTTCGTTGCTGTGGCGATCCTTCTCAGCTACACGATCATGGTGATGGGAACCAGCCGGCCGGAGGGCGTGGTCAACTTCCTGTGCAACGTGAGTGATGTCATCCTCATGGGACGATCTGTTTTATTGGTCACGGTCTCAAACCTGCAGCCAATCAAAATGATTTATCTCCTTTCTCTTCCAATCACATTGATTTGTCCTTCCTCTAGCAGGTGCCACAAGAGAACACAGATGCCATAGTGACTAAAGCCATTGAACTGTGGCACAAATACTGTTGCACTCGCATGCACTCTGTATAGAATCCCAGACCTCCAGATCCCCTGCCAGCCACTCTTGATGGGGGTCATTGACATTGGGATACGCTTGGACTCTCCCTCCTCTCAACTGGAGAACATCCAGAACTCTGCCATTACCAAAACATCCAATGAGTTTGGACTCAATGGATAGAATGACTGTACGGTACTAAGGACTGGTCCAGGGCCTGTCATATGGTTGGGGAGGCTTACTAAGCAGACTGTGATTTTGGATCACAGCAGCAGTCCACTTTGTTTTTTATAGCCTGGTCCCAGATCTGTTTGTGTTGTCTTGCAAACTCCTCCAACCTACTCCAAATGAAGCCCCTTTCCTTGAACATGTCCTGAAGGAAGGAAGTTGGAGGTGGCTTTGCTTTGCATGTGAACATCTAGCTGAAGAGCACAGTTGAATCATGTATTTATGTCAATAAACATACATTTATTGACAGAATGTTGAATGCATTAAAACCACACAGATATACTGTTCTACTTCTATTATGAAAACAGTATGGTTTCATTTAGTAAAGGTGAGTTAAGTTCTCACTGTTCGTGATGCTATGTATGTATGGAACAGAGATGTTTGAGGAAAAGTAGTTTTGAATGTTTTTTAATAAGTTTCCTTTAGATAAGAAACTGCATACATGATAGAAGACAAACAATAAGTTAACAATCACATGCAGTTTCCCTCTACAAAAAAGAAAAACATGTAGTTTATTTTGTATTATGTACATATCTTATACAGTAATTCCCAAAGAACGTCCTCTTTCTTTTCTTAGTTTGGACACGAGAGGCACAGGGAGACAGTCCTGGGTCGTGTTTGGTAAGCACTCCGTTGTAAAACATTTTCCATGTTTTGTGCCTTAAGAACACGTCCCTGTACAAACACACATACCAGGATACACCACAAGTCAAAGGGTTCTGACTAAACGATCAAGACCATCAACTGCATGTGTTTATTGTAAAAGAACAAGAATGTTTTCCTCGTATTTTGAGACGTCTGTCTCCTGTCTCATTCACAGCCAAAGGGTTGTCTAATGTGTCGGTTCTCCATTATGAGGCTGAACCAGGCGGAACCATGAGAACAGTGAGAAATCTAACAATTCCATTCCCTTCATAACTATTGACCGTTAACTTGCCAGTCTATGGAGCACTCTGCTGAAGCATTGTATAGACAACATACTTTATCAAATGTAATTCAAACAAAGTACATTTGGCAACGTTTTCATCCCTGTAAACAATATGATAGGCACAGTGACACTAAACAGAGGGTTGCAGAACTCTCAACAATAATAATGGTGATCTGGGTTGCATTCAAGATCACAACTCACAACAGCGTTTCAAAGTGTATTTGGTATTGAGCAGGCAGCTCTCTGAAACGTTACCAGTAATTGTTCACTTGAATGCAGCCCCGGAAGAGAGACAGACGGAGGAAAAATATATATTATTGCTAGGTTCATATTTCTAGACTGTATCACAACATGGACAGGAGGGTTTTGTGTTGTATTTCAACATTTTTAAGGGTATATATTCTGATCATATTCTCATACTACAGTTTCTTTCAGAGTAGCACATAGCGTATATGGTATTGTAAGTAGTACTGCAACACACTTATTACAGAATCCTATCTGCAGTCCTATCTGATTGAAAGGGCTTGGTCCCTCTGTTTTGGAAACAACAGCCCACAATGGAAAACAGGAAAAATAAGAATGTATTAAAAAGGCAGGAACACAACAACCCTTGGAGGATAATAATTTTTCCCAATCAGTTGTAGGAGGTCTCTGTATTTTTTTACAGATGCCCTCCCAAACTCAATCTCCCACAATCCCAAAGTCCCATTGGCACAGATATAGGAGCAGAGTTCTATAACCCCTCGGTAGAGTACTTTCAAAAACCAAAGTGCAATAAAGTAAATTTCATTATTAACAATTATAATAAAAGGCTGTTAAAAAACCATACTTTTTAGTCCATATAATCTCAGTTTAGAGATAAGTCAGTCAAGTGCCTTCTGTCAGTTTCTCTCCATGTGTATGATGGTCCCTCTCCCCAACCCGACCACACTGTGACCGCTCTCTGACCACTGGACCAAAATACTGTTGTGGTTGGTCCAGTCTGCCCTTTCCATTCATTGGCAGCCATTTTGGGTCAACACTGGAGCCTGTAGCAGTGTAAATTGCCAAGTTCTGTACACACCTCTCCAGGTTCAGATTAAGTTTATGGTCAGGTTCAGATCACGTTCTACTCTGGTTCTAGTGTAGTTCTGGTCTGGAAGGGGAGGGGTGTGGTGTGGTACACAGAGGCAGCAGTTTTGAGGTCCAGCACTTGAGGTTCTTGTAAAAGATGGCATAAGAATAACTATGGTCGATGAAACCTACAGGACAGAGAGAGGGAGAGAGATAATTAGTTACTGTATACACTGCTTGAAGTATGGGCAAGTGTCTCTGTGTTGTGTTGCAGAGTGTAGTATGGCTGTGACATACCTGGTTAGATGGCGACTACCCTCATGCACTTCCATCTCTGTGCTTTTAAATTCATTGAGTTCTTTACGTATGGCAGCCTACGAGGGACAAACAGAACCGGAGATCAGTCAGAGAAAACACGCATGTATATACGCATGACTGCATTTGTGTATGTGTGTGAGTGAATAAAGTGTTTGTGTGTGAGTGTATATGTGTGTGAGTGTATATGTGTGTGCGGTGTGAGCACCTGCTTGTGAGTGTTATTACCTTATCAGCAGCTGTGAGTCGCGTCCACGGTTTGTCTGCTCTCCTGTCGTAGTCCTGGGCGTCAGCTACCTCTACATAGTCACTGAAGCGGGTCAGGATCTTAGCATCCCTCAGCTCCTCCACTGTAGGCCTCTGACTCAACTGGAGACGGGAGAAAAGGGTTGTCAGAGTGTGTGCAGGTGTGTGTGTGTGGTGACTGAGGGTCTCGGGGGCAGCAGATCTGGATTATTGTGGTAGCTGTCCTCAACCGAAAGACAAAGATGGCCTCGCAGGCAATCATCCAAACTGTTAGAGATATAGACACACACACAACCGTTAGAGATATATACACACACACAGACACACACACACACACACACACGGCTTATGTTACACAACAGAGGATGAGATAGCATTACCTGTTATGACATCAAGTTATCATATTTCAAATAGACTGCCATCTAATGGAAAGTGATACCCTATTCCCCTCTCTCACCCTCCTCCTCCTCCCCTCTCTCACCTTTCTAGACAGGCGTTTCTTGAGCTCTCTCATCTCATCCAGCTCCTCCAGCTCATTGCGTGCTGAGAGAGGGAGGGACAGGTTAGAATGGAATAAAACAAAATAGAGAAGTCACTTTATTGTCCATTTTGTGAGAAACTGGAAATGTGTCTTCTGCCTATCTAGTCTGTTCTACTTACGTTTGAGTATGTTTCTCTGTTCCAGCTCCTCTGTAGTTGGCCGTTGACTCAACCTCCTGAGAAAATAGAACTAGAGTCAGTCACCAGCTCCTCTGTAGTTGGCCGTTGACTCAACCTCCTGAGAAAATAGAACTAGAGTCAGTCACCAGCTCCTCTGTAGTTGGCCGTTGATTCAACCTCCTGAGAAAATAGAACTAGAGTCAGTCACCAGCTCCTCTGTAGTTGGCCGTTGATTCAACCTCCTGAGAAAATAGAACTAGAGTCAGTCACCAGCTCCTCTGTAGTTGGCCGTTGACTCAACCTCCTGAGAAAATAGAACTAGAGTCAGTCACCAGCTCCTCTGCAGTTGGCCGTTGACTCAACCTCCTGAGAAAATAGAACTAGAGTCAGTCACCAGCTCCTCTGTAGTTGGCCGTTGACTCAACCTCCTGAGGAAATAGAACTAGAGTCAGTCACCAGCTCCTCTGTAGTTGGCCGTTGACTCAACCTCCTGAGGAAATAGAACTAGAGTCAGTCACCAGCTCCTCTGCAGTTGGCCGTTGACTCAACCTCCTGAGGAAATAGAACTAGAGTCAGTCAGGACCATTTCCTAACGTATTTTATTGTGTTTTGTTCTATTGTGTTTTATTTTCTGACCTCAGAGCAGTCTCCTCTGTGAGCCATGACTCCCTCAGATTTATATGTATTTACTTACCACCTCAATAGTCTGACACAGTGATTCATTCAGCAAGGAGAGGGAGGGAATGAGATGGTGGGAGGGGGGAATGAGAGAGAAGAAAAATTGAGAGAGGGGAGGGAGGAAGGAGAAGGAAGAGAGGGAGGAGGCAAGAAGCATGAGTGTAACAAATGAAAGTGGGAGGCGAAAGAAAGGAAGGAAATTGTTTGTGAATTCCTGTATTGCCACATCCCTCCTGCATTTATGTTCTGTACTCTGTGAAGGTAAAATCCCACTTGAAGCTGTCTGCCCTCTCACTGACATATTCAAGATAATAATGTGACAGGCTCTCTTTTACTCTCCCTCTCATCCGTTTCCTTCCATCCTCCGTCCCTCTCCCCTTTCTTACTTCCTCGCGTCTCATCTCCTCTCCCCAGGTCACGTCTCCCCCAGGTCACGTCCCCCCCCCCAGGTCATGTCCCCCCCCCCCCAGGTCATGTCTCCCCCAGGTCTCCTCTCCCCCAGGTCACGTCTCTCACAGGTCACGTCTCCCACTCCCACAGGTTTCCTCTCCCCCAGGTCACGTCTCCCCCTGGTCTCCACTCCCCCAGGTATCCTCTCCCCCAGGTCTCGTGTGTTTCTATACAGGCACCAAGTGCCCTCCTAGCCATTGCTATAGGGAGGGTGTGTGTCTCACCGTGTGAGCTTGGTGCCTATCTGCTGCCTGAACTCCAGTCTTTCCTGGTCTGACTGTCTGGGCAGGATGTTCTTCTCCTCCAGCTCTCTCACAGACGGACGGTTACTGATCTTAATGGCCAAGGAGTCCTTCCTCAATACCTTCAGAGCCAGGGTACCTACACACACACGGACAAATTGGTTGTTGGAGAGGACAGAATAAGATAAGTAAAGTAAACTTTATTGTCCATTAAATGTTTATAAAATTGAGTTACTAACACCACAGTAGCTAACTCATGCACTAGCAATTAAACTGTCACAACGGTTACCCTCTCCAGTGAGCGCTACAGGATGGGAGTGTGTGTGTTTACTGTTTCCAACCCACTCCTCTGTTTACATAACCAGATAATATAATAATAATAATATGCCATTTAGCAGACGCTTTTATCCAAAGCGACTTACAGTCATGCGTGCATACATTTTTTGTGTATGGGTGGTCCCGGGGATTGAACCCACTACCTTGGCGTTACAAGCGCCGTGCTCTACCAGCTGAGCTACAGAGGACCAGATTACAGAGAGGAGAGAGGTGTGTGTGTTTACTGTTTCCAACTCACTCCTCTGTTAACCAGATTACAGAGAGGGAGGTGTGTGTGTAGAAATACTTCATAAGTATAATGGGCCGCAAATCAATAATTCACACAACTGCTGAAGGGAACAGAGTGAAGGGAACTACTGGAACTTGGGACCTGAGGACCAGCCAGCGTGTGTGTGTTTCATGACATAAAAGACAGAGGTTACGCAACAGCTCTCATTCACACACCACTGTCACCTCGGTGCTTTGATTGGTCACGTTCAACACTCAAATCAGGGAGGCGAACCAATGGGATTCACAGCTCTTAATGGAGGGGTCCAATGAAAGGAGAGCTCTTAAACTACATATCCCAGTAGCCATTGAGGCTGTTACTTGGAAGAATGGCCACTAAGCAGAGACCAAACAGCCACTCCAGTCCCAAACCTATGGATATACAAACACTTACTTGTAAACAGTGTTTCATCGTCATCTTCATCCTCCTCTTCTTCCTCCTCCTCCTCCTCGTCCCTGTACGACCCAGGTATGTCTTGGTAGTCTTCTTCGTTGGAGAGGTTCTCTTTGTTGTCGTCACATGCTATCATCACCGTGGGAACCACGTGGTGCAGGGAGCTGAGGTCAGTGAGAAAGGTCAAAGGTTAGCGAGAGATGGTGGGCTTGCGTGGGTGGTGTTAGAAAGACAGGAGTAGTAAGGTAACGTCAGGTTATATTTCCACCATAAGTTGTTATGAAAGAAACGTAAAACAGCCAATTGTAAACGGCACCTCAACTCAACTGACAAAACAAGACTGAAACACTGTAGAAAACGGCCTGACTCAACCATAAGGGAGACATGAGCCCAGCAAAAACAAACTGCAGACCAATCAGAAACTAGCAGCATTCCCCAATCAGGAAAACAGCACAGGAGCAGACAGGAAAATAAGCAGCAATCTAGTAACTGTGGAGCTCTCATACTGGAGAATAATTATTCCTGTTGCTTTTACAAACTAACATCACATTTAGACAAATTCAGGCAGCAATAGAGTAAAAAAAATAAAGACTTTAAAAAGACTAGGATACCTATAACCATGTTGTGCTTGAGACCAAACAGAAAAATGAAAGGGGGAGAAAAAAGGAGAGGAAAGGAAGGAGGAAATAATTGTATCCCGGGAGTACAGCTGACTGACAGGAAATCAACACCCTGGACGGCCCACCAATCAGTGTGATGGATCATGGGGGGGTCAATCTGGTACTGCAGTCACGGAGTCACGGAGTGTTGGGGTCAATTTCAAAGCGTTTTCCCCTTGTGTGATGTGTCTGTAGACTGATGGAGATTGTGTGTGTGTGAGTGTCTGTGTTTCTGGTGGTGCTCTAAATTGGTCTAAACTGGTTAGACACCAGCCCATGATACACATACACCCAGAGAGGTAAAGTTAAGGTAAGGCTCTGGGAACTAGTGCAGCTCTTTATCCAAAGCTGAACTCAACAACAGCCAGAGGAGGTTAAAATTAAATGGTCGCTCTACTGAGATGTGTATGACTGACCAGACGTTTCAAATGCTGCCTAGAGGATTGTGGTATTGGATTCCACACAAACAGAAACATTTTAACATTTACAATTTAGTTATTTAGCAGACACTCTTTTCCAGAGCGACTTACAGGAGCAATTAGGGTGAAGCGCCTTGCTCAAGGGCACATTGACACATTTTTCACCTAGTCGGCCCGGGGATTCGAACCGGCAACCTTTCGGTTACATTCTATAACCTATGATCAGACTTCAGAAAGCTGACCTTTTGCCGATCTTTCACTGGGATAGAAAGAAGGGCTCTTATCTCTACTCTGTTGACACAAAGGCACAAAGAGACAGAGACCTCCACAAAGACCTCCCAACAGCAAATCGTACTCTCTAAAGCCAGACTGTCTGCTAACAGTGCTCCTCTTTCCTCTCTCCCATAGACCCGGGCATCCATCTTTACTCCCAATTTAACCCCACTAATTAGAACACGTTTTGTCAAATGATTAACGAGCTACTTAACGACTCTATCCCACAATCCATCACACTGCTGTAGTGTAGGCACAGGCCAGGGCCAATGGGAAGGGAGTACAGGGCAGGCTGGATATATATACTGAGTGTACAAAATATTGAGTTACACCCCCTTTTGCCTTCAATTCGTCGGGGCATGGACTCTACAAGGTGTCGAAAGCGTTCCACAGGGATGCTGGCCTATGTTGACTCCAATGCTTCCCACAGTTGTGTCATGTTGGCTGGATGTCCTTTGGGTGGTGGACCATTCTTGATATACACAGGAAACTGTTGAACGTGAAAAACCCAGCAGAATTGCAGTTCTTGACACCCTCAAACCAGTGTGCCTGGCACAGGGGTTGGGTTAAATGCATTCAGTTGTACAACTGACTAGGTATCCCCCTTTCCCTACTATCATACCCCGTTCAAAGGCATTTCAATATTTTGTCTTGCCTATTCACCCTCTGAATGGCACACATACACAATCCATGTCTCAGTTGTCTCAAGGCTTAAAAATCCTTGTTTAACCTGTCTCCTCCCCTTCATCTACACTGATTTAAGTGTATTTAAGAAGTGACATCAATAAGGGGTCATAGCTTTCACCTGGTCAGTCTGTCATGGAAAGAGCAGTTGTTCCTAATGTTTTGTACACTCAGTATATACAGTATTATGAACCCCTGCATCCACATTATTTTTCATGCACACACATGCACTCAAACACATGGAGGCAAGGACACACACACACACACACTGTGTCCTCACCTCTCGTATCGCTTCATGGTGAGGGCCAGGGTCTTATTGAGTTCCTCTATGATGCGGCTGGGGGGGTGTAGGGGCACAGGGAGGGTCCCGTAGTGTAGGGAGTGGCCCCCAAGGGACCCCACATGGTGAGAGGGAGGGGGGCACTTCTGGAAGGTGAGGGCCGAAGGCTCCATGTTCCCCCCTGCTCCCACAGGCACACAGATCATCAGCTTCTTAGGAGGTAGAGGAGGAGACAGCTTCATGGACATACAGGGCATCTTCACTGGCATACCCTCTACAGAGGGAGGGAGGGAGGGAGGGAGGGAGACTTTACTAGTGTTTCATTATGGGGAAACACTAAAACAGTACAGAAATACACTAAGAAAAGATAAGGAACAGCATGTCAGAAAACATCTCAATGTGATTGAAGAATCCATAGAATCAAATCCCTTCTGGGAAAATTGGAACACACTAAACAAACAACCTGAAGAGCTACCTATCCAAAATGGAGATGTATGGATAAAACACTTCTCCAACCTTTTCGGCCATATAACAAAGAACCAAGAACAAAAACATATACGTGACCATTTACAAAACTTAGAATCTGTTATTAAAGACCACCACAACCCATTGGATTCTCCAATTACATTGGATGAGCTACAGGACAAAATACAAACCCTCCAACCCAAAAAGGCCTGTGGTGTTGATGGTATACTAAACAAAATGATGATAAAATATACAGACCACAAATTCTAATAGGCTATTCATAAACTCTTCAACAGTATCCTCAGCTCTGGCATCTTCCCCAATATTTGGAACCAAGGTCTGGTCACCCCAATCCACAAAAGTGGAGACAAATTCGACTACAATAATTACCCTGGAATCTGCATCAGCAGCAATCTCTGAAAAATCCTCTGCAGTATCATCAACAGCAGACTCCAACATTTCCTCAGTGAAAACAATGTCCTGAGCAAATGTCAAATTGGCTTCTTACCAAGATACTGTATGACAGACCACGTATACACCCTGCACAACCTAACTGACAATATACAAAAACAAAAGCAAAGTCTTCTCATCCCTTGTTGATATCAAAAAAGCTTTTGACTCAATTTGGCATGAGAGTCTGCTATACAAATTGATGGAAAGCGGTGTTCGGGGAAAAACATTTGACATGATAAAATCCATGTACACAAACAACAAGTGTGCAGTTAAAACACACAGATGTCTTTCCTTTGGGCCGTGGGGTGAGACAGGGATGCAGCTTGAGCCCCATCCTCTTCAACATATATATCAACGAATTGGTGAGGGCACTAGAACAGTCTGCAGCAGCCGGCCTCGCCCTACTGGACTCGGAAATCAAACGTCTACTGTTTGCAGACAATCTGGTGCTTCTGTCCCCAACCAAGGAGGGCCTACAGCAGTACCTAGATCTTCTGCACAGATTATGTCAGACCTGGGCCCTGACAGTGAATCTCAGTAAGACAAAAATAATGGTGTTCCAAAAAAAGGTCCAGTTGCCAGGACAATAAATACAAATTCTATCTAGACACTGTTGCCCTAGAGCACACAAAAACTATACGTACCTCGGCCTAAAAATCAACACCACAGGTAACTTCCACAAGGCTGTGAACAATCTAAGAGACAAAGCAACAAGGGCCATCTATTCCATCAAAAGGAAGATAAAACTCGACATCCCAATTAGGATCTGGCTAAAAATACTTCAATCAGTTATAGAACTCATTGCCCTCTATGGTTGTGAGGTCTGGGGTCAAAATGGGACAAAAGTCCAATTGAGACTCTGCATGCAGAACCCCAAACAATGCATGCAGAGCAGAATTAGGACCATATTTATCAAAATCCAGAAAAGAGCTGTTAAATTCTACAACCACCTAAAAGGAAGCGATGCCCACACATTCCATCAAAGCCCTCACCTACAGAGAGATTAACCTAGAGAAGAGTCCCCTCAGCCAGCTGGTTCTGGGGCTCTGTTCACAAACACAAACAGACCTCACAGTGTCCCAGGACAGCAACATAATTAGACCCAACCAAATTATGAGAAAGCAAAAACATAACTATTTGACACACTGAAAAGAATCAACCAAAAAACTGAGCAAATTGGAACGCTATCTGGCCCTAAACAGAGATCCTTGACTATATTCACATACTCAGTGAGCATAGCCTTGCTATTGAGAGAGGTAGCCAAGAGAAGACAGGATATGTGCCCATTGTCCACAAAATGAGGTGGAAAGTGAGCTGTACTTCCTAACCTCCTGAGAAATGTAAGACCACAGTAGAGACATATATTTCCCACAGATCACACAGACCCAAATCAAACATTGCTAAACCTCCATATCTGTACCACAGTGTGCAATCACAGCAGCAAGATGTGTCCCATTTCCATGAGAAAAGGGCAACCAGTGGAGTACAAACAAAACTGTAAATACCACCAATATCCCTTTATTTATCTTCCCCCACTATTCATACTCCCACTATTTGCACATTGCTAAAACACTGTACATACTGTAGCTGATAATATAACATATGAAATGTTGATCTTTTTTAGACCTTTTTGAGCGCAATGTTCCTCCCCCAATACCAAGGGATACCGGCCCCCTGTCCCCCTTTAAACCTGGAGCGGTCCCCCTTTTGTTTTAAAGTGGGGCTCGGGGCCCCCCCGGACCCCCGACCCCGGGGGCCCCCTTTCCCCCCCGGTCCCCTGGCCGCCCCCCCCACAATTTTTCCCTGGCCGATCCCCCACAGTCCCTTTTTAAAAAAAGTAGGGTTGCCCCCAAAGAAAAGACATAAAATTGAGTTTCCCCCAAGCCCCCAAGAAAGTTTGGGCCCGGGCCCCCCCCCGGGTTTTGCCAGAATACCCATTGGGAGGGGCCCCCCCCTTTCCCCCACAGTCCCACATTTTAAACCCCCTCAGTTTTGGCCCCCCCCCTAACCTCCCCGGGGATCGGCCCCCATTAAAAAGAAAAGGCCCAGCCCGGGGAAAGTAAAATTTGTCCAGCTTTCCCCCCCCAATAACGGGTGACTGGCCCCCCCAAATTTTCCCCCCCAAAAACCCCCACAACCCTTCCAGCTCTCCCCCAAACCACATCGCCTCCCCCCCTTTTGACCCACCCCTCGAAAAACCCTTTGGCCCCTCTCTACATCCCTCTGCCCCCTCTTTTTCCCCCCCACTAACAGTACAGCACCTAGGCCTCCCCCCCCAAAAATCCTGGTCCCCCTGGCCCCCGGCCCACGTACCTAAGAAATTTGCCCCTCTGAAGAAAGCCATTTCTGTCCAGTTGTGAAGAAATCCCCTTTGGTAGTTGGGGAACCCCTCAAAACTCCCGGGGTCGGAATACCACAGTGGGCGCAAATGGGGGAAAGGTGTTTTTTTTTGCGGGCCAAAAAAAATAAAAAGGGGGAACCCCCCTTATAAAAATTTAATTTTTTTAAACCGGGAAAACCCTGGTCGGACTTTTTCAAAAAAATTTTAAAATCAAAACGCGGAAAAAACATTTAGATTTTTTAAAAATTTCCCAAAAATTAAAAAATTTAAAAAGAGAAATATTAGCTGAACTTCAGTAACTGCTATCTAGGTCAAATTAAACTGGGGTTTTTTCTGTCAACACTTTTAAAAGCGTTCTCTGCATTTATGATGAACAAGACGATCTTTTTAAAAGTTCTAAAGCAATATTTGGATTTTTCATTCAGACTTTTAAAAAGGCTTAAGGGGGGTTGCTCTCAGAAACGCCCCAAACTTTTGATGTCTTAACGGCACACACACACACCTCCTTGGTATTTTGGCCCCGCCACCTGGCTTGGGGGGATCAGGCACCTAAGTATCCCCTGTTTTTCATAATTAATCATCATAAAAAGCACAGTGCCCACGTGCTGCCCCCCCAGTACCTCGAATCACCACTGCCGAGCTGCACCCCTCGACAGCGTCTAGCCCCCACTCTGCTGCCCCACATACCTCAGCACATCACCTGTGCCGACTCTGTTTCCCCCCAGTACCTCAGTCAGCACCACTGCCCGCTCGGGTGCCCCCCCACATACCTACAGTACAAACCTAGCTGCCCAGCTCTCTGCCCCACAGTACCTACAGACAAAAATTGCCCCGCTTGTGCCCACTTACCTACAGACACATAGTGCCCACTTTGCCCCCAGTAACCAATCCCCAACCCAGCTGCCCATTGCTGCCCCACAGTACTACAGACACTGCTGCCAGCTCTGCTGCCCCAGTACCTCCGTACACAACCCCGCGCCCACTTGTGCCCCACAGACCACTTTTCCACCTAGTTTAGCTTGCTGCCCCCAAATCCATAACATAGCCCCGTGCCCCAAACTCGCTGCCCCCCCGTACCCATACAACCTAGCTGCCCAGCCTGCTGCCCCCAGTACCTACGTCCCAGCTCCCCTTGCTGCCCCCCCTCTGCCCCACCCCCTCCCCACAGTAAAACTAGCTGCCCAGCTTGCTGCCCCACATACCTCAGACACCTAGCGCCCAGCTCTGCTGCCCCCAATACCACGGGGAAACCAGCCCAGCTCTGGCCCCCAGTACCTACGACAACACCTAGCTGCCCCGCTCTGGGCCCCCCCCCAAAAATACAGCCCTAGTGCCAAACTCTGCTCCCCCCCGACCTACAGAACACTCGCCCAGCTCTGTGCCCCCCTACCTACAGACACACCCAGCTGCCAGCTTGCTGCCCACAACCACGCCAACCTACTGCCCAGCTCTGCTGCCCCCAGTACAGCCCCGCTGCCCTCTGCTGCCCCGTACCTACGTAAAGCACCCAGCTGCCCACTCGTGCCCCCATACCAAAAGTAAAGCACCTACCCCGCCTGTGCCCCAAAATAAAACCCACCCCCCGGGCCCCCCAAAAACACCCAGTGCCGGGGTCGTCCCCCATTCCCTAAGACACACCTAGCTGCCAGCTCTGTTCCCCGCCAGAAACCCTTCCAGGGCCCCCCATCCCAGCTGGCCCCCTCTGTGCCCCCGTACCTAAGCAATCCCCACTGCCATCTGCGCCCCCAGTACCACAGACATCCCCTAGCTCCAGCTCGCGCCCCCCCAAATACACAACACCCTAGTGCCATTGTGCCCCACAGTACCTACAGTACGCACCTACTGCCCCGCCCCCGCGCCCCCAGTAAAATCCGACCGCCTTCCGCTCTGCCCGGCCCCCCCAAAAAACCCCCTAGCGCCCCGTCTCTGCCCCCACAGTACACACCCACGCCGGGTCTGTGCCCCCAGACCCACATACACACC